CAATGCACCTGTAGCATCGGACCTGCAGCGTTACAGAACGCCAGAAAGATGGAGTTCAGTTATGTTACGTGAGCACCGAACGCTCTTGAGGTTGAGGAAGAGTGCATTCATAGCAACATTAAAGTGGAGGAGTTTTGCAAACATGGTGAAAGCCATTAGGGCAATAAAAAATCCGCGCGATTTTGCTAATACGCCGGACGGCAGATGCAGGTTTGTCATAAGTATCTTATTACTCTGTCGCTTAGAGCTATTTAAAACTGCCAGGCGGTACACACCATTGCTCGTGGTGAATTGCACTAAGTTACACTCATTTATTTAAAATAAAATGCAAGTTCTTCTCACGTATGATGGCAAGCCGTTTCACATCATCTCACTTGATTACTACTCTACACACGAATTATGACAGCATAACAAATAACATGACTAACGCGATTAAAAAGCTGAGTATCAAATATTGATTAATTGTGTCGGAGAAGGGGACATCCAGTGCACAGATCAACGACACTACGTTCATCAATGCGCTTGCAGGCAGAAGCTTCTGCAGTATGCTTTCGGGAATACAGTCGACATTGATCAGACTGATGGAATCACGCCAATCAACTTGTTCCAAGTCTGCGGTGCGTAGTGCGTGCGTGCGCCGCACGCGACGGCAATGATCGTCTCTGCCTATGCCATCCGCAAAGAAACAAAGTGGACGACGAACCGAATCTGCCTCGAAGTAATTAAAGGAACGTGAAAAGAATTGTGGTCTATGCCCCTGCATGGCTCTTGTCTGTAAACGGGCCGTTATGCTTTCCAGAAGTGGAAGGAATGGTTAGGGCTTCACAGATAAATAAATGTGTAGAATAAAAAGAAATGCATTACATGGGGATGTCGTACCAAGAAAGAACTGTGTCACGTGAGGAAATTTGTAAATGAGGGATTCACAGAAAGAATTGAACACACACGAAAGTGTCACATAAGGATATGTATCAGATAATTAATATCTGGTGATTGTAACTGGTAAGATATTACTACTATCTTTCCAATGTCTGGAGTTTACGGGGTTTTTTATTTCTGAGATTAAAGTTTCGCCGGATTTTCTGTCCACTCGGCTTGAAAAGGAACGCTGCTTGGGTTAGCATTTAGTTAGCATACTATACAATGGTAATATATGAGCAAATTGGGTTCCTATCAACATAAAAACTACAAACAACAAATTAGCAACTGCAAATTCATTTACTTCTCTTAAAGTTTAACTCTGCAAAACTTATTATATCATTATTTCTTTGAGTAGGTAGCAGGTTCTCCCGGACGGGGGCGGGGAGAACAACATGTATGGGGGGATTGTCGGTATTAGAACGTGTATGTTGAACAGACCAGCTATTATGTATCCACAAAAAACTATTCCCATTATATGACAATACTAGCATATTGCTGACAAGCCGCCCCTTCTGTTACGCAGGAAGTGCCCTTTGTTCATTCTGATTCAAGAGTTCTGTTTGGTTTCGAAAGAGAGTACGCCGATTCGCGAGTAGTGGCTAGCATTTGGTGGCTCAGCCATCGATTGTCAGTGCACCGATGTGGGCGGGCACTTATAGTAATCGTGTGTGACATAGATGTTTCACTATCGATTGAAGTTGTTGAGGTGTTGTCACACTGTTCTAGATGTCGCGTGTGTGAGGGAATAATAACTGGAATTAAGAGGTCTGCTGTAAAATGTTTCATTCGTGTTTAGAAGCCACAACTTTCGTGATGCCTCGTGTACACGCACGATTTTCGGTCACGCAACTACAATGTCAGTGATTCGTAATTTACTTTTACCATTCAATACAAATTCTAGAGAATATAATAATATATAATAAATAAAATATTAAACAGCATATCTAACTGAATTTTTTTAAATTAAAGAAAACATTCTGTATATAAGCAACATTTTCTGTATGCTATTAAGATGCTTTGTAATATATAATTAACGACATGCGTAACGACACGTATATGCAGACATATCTGCATATACACATACGCACGCTCGCACGTAATTACGAACAATACGCACATACACACACATACAAACACGCGCGCACGCGCGCACGCATCCATGCACGCACAAACTGCGCCAGTGCCACGATAGGCTTTTACACAATCGTTCACATCGTTATAATTATGTGAATTTCCTTATTTTCTATGACGCGGCGCACGTAGATGCAATCACTTTATATTTTCAGCTGATCATACATACTTATGCCACGTCAGCGTCATTTTCCTGATATACACCCAGAGAACAGCGATAAGTATAATGAAATGTTAATATTTTAAAAGCAGCCCACGTATAGAGTGGGTATTCTATTCACGACGGCAGGATGTGACCAGCCTTCATTCATAAAATCGCGTGCCTCGCTGGCATTCATATTTCGTAGTTGCTTATGAATGCTTACATGAAAGCACGCATGCGCGCACGCGTGTACATGAACGCACGCGCGTACACACGATGGTCACACACCTGCACATCCTTAGCTGCGGCTTAGCAGACACGCACGCGCGCGTGTATGCATGCACGCACGCACGTACACGTGCACAAATGAAGCCTATAGATATGTCTCAAATTATCTTCGTACCCTAGGAACCGAAAATCGAATCGAGACCGCAAGCCGTTCCTCATAGTTTATTTACAGATTGCATTTAACACCCGCTACGTCGAATTTGATTCCTGCCAGTCCTGTCCTCGTCCTGTCCCGCAATCACACACAGCAAACGCTGTAATGCCAATGTAATGCTATAACGAAGGGCACGCGAGCGCGTACGTTCGAGCGCGCGCTTTTACGTACGAGTTACGTGTGAGCAGGTGCAGCTGCGCCTGTGCGCGTGTGCGTTCGTTTACATGTTTGCGCGTGTATATACAAGCGTAGTAATGAGTATGTGCGCATACACGCATGTGTGTAAGCGCGTGTACATGTGTGGTGCTTCAAACCTCATATAATCATATATACTAGAATGTAGTTTCTGAACAGTGTATGAGCACGTGTTTACTTGAGGATTGTACGCACGAGCACTTGTCACACATCTCTTGGCTCCCATTCCCATCGTCACGCCTTACACAGTTAAACTGCATATCGTTAGCATGCAGGCCAACGACTTAAAGTGATTACGTCACCGAAAATAGTAAAAGTTGAAAAAAAAGAAATCCACTTTTTCACAAAATGCAAGCGATTACATTGTACAATCTTATCAGGTAAGAATTTCAGGATAAATTTAGCGCCGTTAGTACTTACTTTTCCTGTAAAAAAATTGCAACAAACATTTTACAAATGTACACCATAGAAAATTCGTGACGTAGTCAATTTAAAGCTGGAAAAATCTATTATCAAAACGGATTTAGATCATCAACACGAATGAACTGAATTATCAAGTAAATAAACGATGACATATTGTACACACATGTTACAATATTCTACGTTAAGCCGGTGTACATCTTCTGGTTTCATCTGTACACTAGCACTAGATTAATTCGCAGAAAATGAGCGCACATTGACATCACATATGCGGCTTTCCCCCATGGCTCAGCGCGCTCTCTTTGTATATGTCCCGTGCTCTCACTCTCTTTCTCTCTCTCTCGCTCTCTCTTTCTCGCTCTCTCTCTTTCTCTCTCTCTCTCTATATATATCCCCCTAGCTCTCGCTCTTCCTCTGTCTATCTTTATTCCTTTGTCGCTCGCTCCCTCATATCTCTCTCCCGCTCTTCTTTTGCGCTTACTCGTGCATCTCTCTATCACTCTCGCTCTCCCGATCCTCTCCCACCCTCGGCCTCTTGCCACCTCTTTTCTCTCGCTCGCGCGCTCTATAGCTCCCTCTATTTCCGTTCGATGTCGCGCCCCTCGTTATATATCTGCCCATATCTCGCTCGCTCCCTCATCTCTCTCTCTCTCTCTCTCTCTCTCTCTCTCTCTCTCTCTCTCTCTCTTCACAGCTATCACATACACAAAACAAACACACTTACCGTAAGAGCAAACGCCCATGTACATGTACATGTATAAATATACGGCCATATTAATACGAATATTTCACGAATACGTACTCACTTGTTGATGCTGTAAAAACTACCAAGGAATAAAAGATATATACATTGTATACTATATGAATGAACAAAAATGTGTGTGTGCGTGCGTGTGTGTGTTGTCCGCTATGCCTCCGGACAACTTTCGTCCGTTAACGAACAACTTTTACTAGCGGACGTTAGTGAAACACGCTACCTCGCTACACGCTCGCGATCGATCGAGCCCCGTACTTCAATCAAAGGCGCCGCTGCCGCGCACATGTAACAGCCCTAGCCTAGGCATACAACGCCGCAAGTGTATCGATCGTTACAGCCCTAGATCTCAGCACAAAAGAAACAAACATAAACCGAAGTGGTAAAATTTCTGTTTTATTTAATTTTATTTACATAAATTTCATAAACCATAAAACCATAAAACACGAGAGTTTGTTACAAATAATCAATCATAGCAACGAGTAAATACATTATCACATGCATAAATCCTACTGAACTGCATAGAAATGCTGTGTTTGAGCATAACTCTCATATCCGGCCAAATCCCATATCCGGATTGTCCCTGCGTGGCCTGATAAAGGAGGTCGGACTGTATACTTAGACATCTTGGGGAGAAGGTGTGTTGCGTACCAAAACCAGGTCACTGCGACCTTTATTTGACCTTGACCTTGATCATATTTCCCTTCCGCTCTATAACTCGGGCCCCTAATTGACCTCGCGCGAGCAAACTTGGTATACTTACACATCTTGGGGAGAAGGTGTGTCGCGTACTAAAACCAGCAGATATTTCATTCATACTAGATTGCGGGGGATACATGTGGTTGGCTACAACTACCATTTCTAGTTTATAATATTCTATCTCCAATTTGAATAGCTTAGTTTTCACGTTCTAGTTAATTAGAGTGTTCTCCTTTTCATAGGCTAAATCGTGATTACTTTTACATTGATTATAACTCTCCTTACACTTCTTCTAGGGTGATCTTTGGGCCTGACCTAGTTATGCTGTCACCGGATGAGCAATTTACACAGCTGAGTCTGTCTGGCGGTAAGCCGAAGAAACCCAATGTGATCAAGGCGCTCTGTCTGCTGCTAGGCCCTGACTTCTTTACCGACATTGTTACCGTGGAGACGGCGGATCACGCACGGCTGCAGTTGCAGTTGGCCTACAACTGGTACATTACTAGGCAACATGTTATTTTGTGTGGCAAAACCAGTTTTCAGGTTGGGTCACTGCACGTGTGCGATCACGCAATAGTGAAGAACATATTGTCTGATGTTTGATGAGACAGCATGGTTATGTATGCCGAGACATAGATCTGTGGTTTAGTCCGTTTTCGTTTACTGGCATGTAACTCCTAATGCGTAACTTTTAGACTGCATTCGATTGCTTGATAGCAAGTGACGTGCAGTTCAATGAGAGGATGGTGTGATTAGTAGATCTTGTTTTTATAATTATAAAAACAGGATTATTATTTTAATTAAATATTATAATTATAAAAATTAATGTAGTGCCTGTAGTCTGATGAGGCGAGCGGAACTCGCCACCTTACCATCATGCCTTCACCCATTCTTGCCCCGCAGGCATTTTGATCTTCCGGAGGAGGAGACCCAGAAGAGCCGGCTGTTCAGTGTCGCAGATTTTGTCGGCGATGCCTGCAAAGCGATCGCTTCACGCATCCGCGGTTCCGTCGCCAGCATTCCGTTTGACGACTTTCACAAGGTGAGAGACGAGTGTGTGTATGAAACAGCATCGCCCATCAGCATGTCGTAATCACGCATAAACGTTGAGTGACATTCGTGGCGGTCAACGTGCGTGCGTGTAAGGATGAGCTTGTTAACACCTGTTTGGCTTAGTATTCTTAAAGCGTTGGCCACCGGCTGGATGTGTGTGTGCATGTGAATGTGAGCCACTGTCCTTAGCTACTATACTTCTTTCATTCGCATTCCTTCTTTATCTTCTTTAAGTCTTTGTGGAATTCAAATTTGTAATGACAATTCTCAAATCTAAAATGCAACGTCATTTTACTGCATAATAGTAATTTTTCGTTTAACGTGAACGTCACGTGTCATCTGCATTAACTCTCACTTGCGCCATCTTTTGGCAGAATTCGGCGAAGATCATCCGCGTAGCGGTATTCGGCATGGATGCTGAGATGAATGTGCGCAAGCACCTGTGTTTTGAGCAGAACTCCCTGTTCATCACAAGCGTAGACATCCAATCTGTGGAGCCCGTCGACCAGCGCACACGCGATTCACTCATGAAGTCTGTGCAGCTAGCGATAGAAATCACCACCAGCTCGCAGGAGGCAGCAGCCAGGTCAGGAGCGACAACACGTGCTCACCTCGTGATTTGGCACGCTGTCCATCTGCTCACTTTCTTCTACCATACCATTCAGTTCCGACCATACCCTCGCTGGTTTGCCTGTTCACTCATTTGCTCATTCGCTCCCTCACTCGTCTGCATTTCACTAATTCATTCGTATCCTTCATTATTTGTTTAATCACTCGTTGATTAGTCTGCTCGATGTTTTGTAGTCTTACACATTTGCTAATTTGTTTGTTTTCTCCCTTACTTTATTGTAAGGATTTAAGGAATGTAATTCAGCATGACTGCTCATGTTGAATTATTGAGATATAAGAGATGTGATAATGAAGAGGGTATACTTCATTGCAGGCATGAGGCACAGCGTCTAGAGCAGCAAGCAAAGGGCAAGCTCGAGAGACAGAAGATCCTGGACGAGGCAGAGGCAGAGAAGTCGAGGCGAAACCTGCTGGAACTACAGGTGAGCTCACTGCTTGTATTTCCCCCTACGTTTCTGATGTCCCATCTGTACAGACTTGTCAGTCTGTAAACCCAACAAATTGGCTCAATATCTGCTGATTCTCTGTGGATTCAAACAAGTGGGGTCCAAAGAGAGAAAGATACACTGGGTGTAACACTGAGAACTATGAGTGATGTCTCGAGGGTTGTCAGTCTGTTACTCCTGTATTGTAATCTCATGAAATCTCGTCCAATAATTGCTGCGTATGTGTGTGACATCCCTGTACTTTTACCTCTCATAGGCACTCAGTGCAGCAATTGAGAGCACCGGCCAGGCAAAGGCTGAGGCGCAGGGTCGTGCAGAAGCTGAGAAGATTGAAGGGGAAGCTGCAGTACAGCAGGCGAGACTGAAGGCTGAAGCCACATCAATAGAGGCCGTAAGTAAACTCACTAGTGTACACCTGCGATGTCCTTAATGCCTTGCGTTAATGTAATAATGTATCGGTGTATATATATTATAGCCAGCTTGCATTTCTCTTTGCAAATAATTGTGCGGAACGTAACTGGGTTCGCAAGGTTAAATGGGTACACTCTGCCGGTGGTACAAACTCGTGTTTTTTTTCTGGTGTTTAAACATGCACTGTAGGCATCGGAGCTGCAGCGTCTACAGAACGCCAGAGAAGCTGAGGTTCATTATGTTCGTGAGCAGAACGCTCTTGAGGTTGAGAAGAGCCGCATTCATAGCAACATTAAAGTGGAGGAGTTTGCAAACATGGTGAAAGCCATAGGGGCAGATACGATCCGCGCGATTGCTATAGCCGGACCGGAGATGCAGGTTTGTCATATATCTTATTACCTGTCGCTTAGAGGCTATTTAAACTGCCAGGCGGACACACATTGCTCGTGGTGATTGACACAAGTTACACTCATGATTTAAAATAAAATGCAAGTTTTTCACGTTGATGCAAGCCGTTCACATCATCTCACGTTGATATTACTTACACAGAATTGATGAGCAGCATAACAGAATAAGAACTGATAACGATGTAGAAAGCTGGAGTATCAATATTGATTAATTGTGCGGAGAGGGGGGACATGCAGTGACAGATCACGACACTTACGTTCATCAATGCTGCTTGCAGGCAAAGCTTCTGCAGTCTCTGGGAATACAGTCGACATTGATCACTGATGGATCAACGCCAATCAACTTGTTCAACACTGCGCACGGCATGATCGGTGCTCTGCCTATTGCACAGCCGGCAAAGAAACAAAAGGTGGACGACGACGAATCTGCCTGCGAGTAATTAAGGACGTGAAGAGAATGTGTGGTCTATGCCCCTGATGGCTCTTGGTCTGTAGCCGTTATGGCTTTCAGAGTGGAAGGAATGGTTGGAAGGGCTTCACAGAAAATAATGTGTTAGATATAAGAGAATGCATTACATGGGGGATGTCGTACAAGAAAGAAGACTGTGTCACGTGAGGAAATTTGTAAGATGAGGGGATGTCACAGAAAGAATTGGACACACACGAAAGTGTCACATGAAGGAATGTATCAGATAATTATATATTGGTGATTGTACTGGTAAGATATTACTATATTTTCCAATGGTCTGGAGTTTACGGGTTTTTATTTCTGATGATTAAGTTTCGCCGGATTTTTTCTGTCACTGCTTGAAAGGAAGCTGCTTGGTTAGCATTTAGTTAGCATATATACTAATCGTATATATGAGCAAATTTGGGTTCCTATCAACATAAAACTACAAACAACAAATTAGCATACTGCAAAATTCATTTACTTTCTCTTAAAGTTTATACTCTGCAAAACTTATTATGATCAATTATTTCTTTTGAGTAGGTAGCAGGTTCTCCGAGACACATGTAAGATGTCGGTATTAGAAACGTGTATGTGGAACAGACTATAGTGTATCCAGGCAAAAACTATCCCATTATTTGACAAATACTAGCATATTGCTGACGAGAGCCGGCCCTTTTGTTTAGCAGGAAGTGGCCCTTTGTTCATTCTGATTCAAAGTTCTGTTGTTTCGAAGAGAGTAGCCGATTGCATAGGTGGGCTGATCATTTTTGCTCACCAGTCGATTGTCAGTGCACCGATGTGGGGCGGGAACTTATAGTAATTGTGTATGACATAGATGTTTCACTATCGATTGAAGTTGTTGAGGTGTTGTCACACTGTTCGTAGATGTCGCTGTGTGCTGAAGGAATAATAACTGAATTAAGAGTCTGCTGGTATGATTTCATTCGTGCTTTAGAAGCCACAACTTTCGGTGATGCGCGTGTACACGAGCAGCGGATTTTCGGATCAACGGCAATACAATGTAAGTGATCAATTTACTTTTTACCATTCAATACAAATTATGAGAGATATATTCATATATAATAAAAATAAGAATATTAAACAGCATATCTACTGAAGTTTTTAAATGAAAGAAACACATTTCTGTATATATTATAAGCAACATTTTCTGTATGCCTATTAGGAAATGCTTTGTAATATATAAATTAACGACATGCGTAACGACACGTATATGACGTATATGCATCATACAACATACGGCGCACGCTCGCGCACGTATATACGTACAATACGCCACATACAAAACAGCGCGCACGATCCATGCACGCACAAACTGCCGCCAGTTCACGATACGGCTTTACACAATCATCTTTATATGTCCATTTCCTTATTTTCATATGACACGGCGCACGTAGATGCAATCACTTATTATTATTCAGCTGATCATACATACTTATGCCACGTCAGCGTCATTTCCTGATATACACCGAGAGACAGCGATAAGTATAATGAAATGTTAATATTTAAAAGCAGCACGTATAGAGTGGGTATTCTATCAACGGACGGCAGGATGTGACCAGCCTTCAGTCATAAAATCGCGTGCCTCGCTGGGCATACATATTGTCGTAGTTGCTTATGAATCTTACATGAAAGCACGCATGCGCGCACGCGTGTACATGAACGCAATCGCGCTTACACACGATGCGTCACACACCTGCCCACATCCTTAGCTGCGGCTTAGCGACACGCACGCAGCGCGGTATCGCACGCACGCACGCCACGTACACGTGCCACAAATGAGCCTTATAGATATGTCTAAAATTATCTTCGTACCCTAGGCAACCGAAAAATCGAATCGAGACCGCGAAGCCGTTCCTCTAGTTTACTTTACAGATTGCATATTTAACAACCCCGCTACGCTCGAATTTGAGTTCATGTGTAGAGCCAGTCCTGTCGCGCCAATCACACACAGCAAATGCGTGTAATGCCAATGTAATGCTATAACGAGGGCACGCGAGCGCGTTACGTTCGAGCGCGCGATTTTACGTACGAGTTACGTGTGAGCAGTGCAGCTGTGCCTGCATGTGCGCGTGTGCGTTCGTTTACATGTTTGCGCGGTGTATTTACCAAGCGTAGTAATGAAGTATTGTGCGCATACACGCATGTGTGTAAGCGCGTGATGCATGTGTGCTGCTTCAAACCTCATATAATCATATATACTAGAAATGTATGTGTCTGAACAGTGTATGAGCACGGTGATTTACTGGGAGATTGTACGCCGAGCACTTGTCACACATCTCTTGGCTCCCCATTCCCATTCGTCACGCTTACACAGTTAAACTGCATATCCTTAGCATGGCAGTGCCAAGAGCTTAAAGTGATTACGTCACCGAAAAATAGTAAAAGTTGGAAAAAAAAAAATCCACTTTTTCACAAAATGCAAAGCGATACATTGTACATATCTTATCAGGTAAGGAATTTCAGCGCATAAATTGTTAAGCGCGTATACTTACTTTTCATGTAAAATTGCAACAAACCATTTCTACAGATGTAGCACATAGAAAATTCGTGACGTAGTCAATTTAATGCTGCGAAAATCTATGATCAAAACGATTCAGATATCAACACGATGACATGAATTATCAAGTAAATAAACCGATGACATAATGTACACGCATTGTTACCAATATTCTACGTTAAGCCGGTGTACATCTTCTGGTTTCATCTGATTACACCTAGCGCTAGTTATTTCGCAAAAATGAGCGCACATTTACATGCACATATGCGGTTTCCCCAATTGCTTCAGCGCGCCTCTCTTCTTGTATATGTCCCGTTGCCTCTCACTCCTTTTCTCTTCTCTAGCTCGCTATCTCTCTCTCCTCTCTCTCTCTCTCTCTCTCTCTCTCTCTGCTCTCACTCCTCTCTCTCGCTTTCTCTCTCTCTATCTCTCTCGTCTTCGCTTCTCTCTAATTTCTCTCTCTCTCGCCTCTCTCTCTTCCCTCTCTCTCTATAGATATCCCCTAGCCTCTCGCTCTTCCTCTGTCTATCTTTATTCCTTCTCGCTCGCTCCCTCATATCTCTCTCCGCGCATCTCTTTGCGCTTACTCATGCATCTCTCTATCACTCTCGCCTCTCCGTCCTCTCCAACCTCGGCCTCTTGTCACCTCTTCTCTCGCTCGCGCGCCTCTATAGCTCCCTCTATTTCTGTCCGATGTCACGCCCCTCGTTATATAATCTGCCAATATCTCGCTCGCTCCCTCATCTCTCTCTCTCTCTCTCTCTCTCTCTCTCTCTCTCTCTCTCTTCTCTCTTTTCTCTTTCTCTCTCTTTCTCTCTCTCTCTCTCTCTCTCTCTCTCTCATCTCTCCTATCTCGCCTCTTTCTCTCTCTAGCATCCTTCGGAGGGTGGCGGATGTTTCACTTATGCATAGGCACTGCCTCCTTTTATCATTTCTTTCTCTCACTTTCTCTCGCGCTTTTCTCCGCTTTACCCTCGTTCGTGCTTTCCCTTCTCCCATCGTCTCTCATTCCAGCTCTCTTGCTCTGTTCTGTCCTATCTCCCACCTTCAGTCCCCACTCTCCCTCCGCTCCTTCGCTTTCACACATTCTCTCTCTCTCTCTCTCTCTCTCTCTCTCTCTCTCTCTCTCTCTCTCTCTCTCTCTCTCTCTCTCTCTCTTCTCTCTCTCTCTCTCTCTCTCTCTCTCTCTCTCTCTCTTTCTCTTTCGCGCATATAGGTATACAATTGCGTTGAGCACAGCAATCCGAGCTGCGACCAGGTGTTTTCAATTGACCCGATGAAGGGTGACGAGGCAAGACCAACTGGAATCTTTTCTCTCTCTCCCTTTTCCTCGACGAAATATCGTCTGTATAAAGTCCAGGTTCGGCGGTGCATGCGAAACACAGAGGAAAGCTGCGATCAGCGCCAACACACACGAAGTGCATCTGCACTTATAGGTGACTGGGGCTTCAGACAACAGTAAGTGTAGATTAGAGAGTGTTAATTGTGGTATGTAAATTATGGACTTCTCACTGCTAGAGCGTTAGAGAGTTTTTGCAAAAGTTTTATTCTCATTAAGCATCTTTTGAGAAAGGACCAGCCCTATTTTAACAGTCCTGGACGCGATGACAAATGTTGCCGATGAGATATTCTGCTACGAAATACAGTCGCGTTTTGTTTTATCAATGAAATAATCTGCAATGATAATATATTTTATCTTATATTTTATTTATTATATATTATATATATATATATATTATATTTTATTTTACCGTGGTGGCATATTTTAGCATCATGTATTACTATTGATTTTGATAATTTGCGCTCAGTGCACGTGAAAGTTTATTCTTATTAAGTATATTGTATAGTAAAAAACGCGAGTATTTATAATAACACACCAATAAAATAATTATTCGCTACATGGTCATTATGCTAATCCAATGTCATCATAGAAATTACCATAAATCTTATTATACCCTATGCTAACCCAATATCATTATTTCAATTCTCTTGAATCTCATTTTACGATAATATCCCAACCTTTACTATGTCTCTGTTAATTCGTATCCTCCCCTCTCCACGCATGCACGTTATCTTATTTAAGTTTTTGTGAGATCGTATTGTTGTTGTTGTTGTTGTTGTTGTTGTTGTTGTTGTTGTTGTTGTTGTTGTTGTTGTTGTTGTTGTTGTTGTTGTTGTTGTTGCTGTAGATGTTGTTATTCTTGTTGCTGCTGTGGTAGTCGTCGTCATCGGCGGTGTAAGTTGTATTCGTTGTTTTTGTCTTCGTTGTCTTCGTTGTGGTCAGTGTTGTTGTTGTTGTTGTTGTTGTTGTTGTTGTTGTTGTTGTTATCGCTCTCTCTAAATCTGACGATTTGCATTTATCTGGCCTTGCGTGTCTCTGTCAGTGATGCTGCGCATGGCGAGTTCAGGCGTGACGATGCCGACGATGGGTGCCGACGAGTGGCTGGCGTGGCTCGTGCGGTTCTTCGTACACGTGTGGACTACCCGCGCGCTACCGCTCATCGAATCCTTGCGGCAAAAACACTTCGCGTGGACATTCTACTACTTCTCAGGACCCTACCACACGGAGATGCACTCGACAAAAACTGTGAGAATTATACACGCGCGTCGGCTCGCTCTGTGTCTGCGTTCCTTGCTTCCGCCTGCGCGCGCCCGTGTACCCGTGGTGTTGCACGCGCGTCTAGCCGCACACCCGTAGCATTTAATCGAAGGGGTTGTGAACAGTTTCTGTGTGGCAGCTGTGCTATCTCGTCTCTATGTTTTCTTTTGCTGCATTTGTATGAACTATACTAGCAGAATCTTTACTTTTCTTTTTAACAGACTTGCATATTATATATACATAAAAAATACTTACATACTACAATACTATATAATTACACTTTATTCATGCTAAATGAACACCTGTAGATTCAAAGTCCAACCGTCAATCGAAACTTGCCAGATTGTTTTCGATCATTTTCAGCATATAGTCGGTTTCCGTGTCAAACACAAAATTGGCGGATCGGTCACCGTGGCTAAGCCAATTGACGGAATGGCACAATTACACGCCTAGACCAATCTCACTTCTAATGCTTTCTAGACGTCCACGAGGCTTCTACCTTGCCTGCATATTGCAAATTAGTGCACTCTAGTGCCGAGTTTTACTGCAAAAAATTCAAAAGAGGTACCTTTCCACAGACGAAATAGTGAAACATTGGTGAACAATTGGCGGGAGGCTATTGTCGTATGCCACTTTTAACTTTTCGTTACGGCACAGGCTCATGGCGCAGCAAAAGGTTACGCAAGATCTACGTGCTGCAGTGAAATAGCTTTCGAAATAGCGTAAATTATAACGTGTAAAATGTAATACGTAGAGGAATATAGGCCTACCATGAGCAGGCCATAATTATGTACCCAATGGTTATTGCAGATTCTAATATATAAAGTATACCTACGTCTTTCGCGCCCAGAACACTTGCCCTCTCGTAATAAATAATTTATAGTGAAATATATTCAGAAACTGGTCGCATTCAACATGGCCGCTTATAGGGCCTACTCAGAAGACGCATTCCGTAGTAACTTGGGAAATGACATATTTGCACTGTCGTGATCTTAATTAAAAGAATATAACGAACTAAACGGAAATAAACACATCTAATGGAATCATAGGACGTAGTGCGTCGTAACGCACATATATCAAGTCTTGATAAAGACTGACGGCTAAATGGAACCAAAATTTCGGATAGACGACAGTTTCGGTTTTACGCAAGCTTATAAAACATCCATTTCCGTGTTCGGCTAGTTGTTCCAGCAGCACCGTGCATCGATATGTATCCGTGTGTCGCACGCAGGCACCATTTTGGTTGCGTTACCACAACATTCCAACAGGTAGAAGATGCACCTGTGTGCGAAATTTTTTTATTTGGTAAATGCAGCCGATCACGTGATATGCCCTCACTCAATTGTATTTATCGGCGTTGACAGGAAGACAAACTCTTGATTTAACCTACGGCTAACGTGTCGGGAAGACGGTGCCCGAAGTCACAACGTTTGATTAAACACGATCGAATTCATCGCAACGGGTACACCGCGGCCATCGTAGCGTGGTTAGGCGCGAGACCCCCCCCCCCCACCGGTTACGCGCCAAGCGGCATTATAGCAGAGTAAGACGCTGTAACGAGCGGTGCACCAACAGCCGCTCGTCGGGCTTGTGCGCGGCGTGCCAGTGCGCCTATTCAGCGTCTCTCATTAGAATTAATTCGATTGTCGAAAATTCAACCGCAGCGTGTTGATTGGATTCGTGTTCTTACGACTGCGACCCCGTTAGAAACGAACGGGGCGTTGCGAAACATTAGTAACAGCTACAGCCATGAAAAATTAACAACATCGCCTGCCAGCAGCCCTGAATGACGTCTTCCGGTCTTCATCAGGAGCTGTTTGCTGACCTTGGCGGCAGCGGCGGCGGCGGCGACGGCGGCGACGGCGGCGACGGCAAGATTGACGATGGCGCCGATGAGTTGAATATCGTCGAGGTCGGCTCAGGACCGGGATGCAACTTCGGCTACTACCCTTCGTGTAGGGTGACGTGCGTCGACCCGAACCCTGAGTGGCCGCGCTTCCTGGCGAAGAATCTGGCGCGCGCGCCGCACGTGAAGGCAAGCTTGATAATTCAGGGAGCCGAAGACATGGACGTCATTGCTACAGGTAGTGTCGACGCGGTGGTGACGACAGCGGCGCTCTGCTCCGTGCAGGACCCCGACAGAGTCGTCAGCGAGATCAGACGCATTTTGAAACTGGTATGCGCTGCGACTGTAGTGCTGTCGACTGCTTCACCCTATCTGAATCTCTCCGTTTATTCCACTCTCGCAACACATTTTTTTTGCTCTCTTCTCTTTCGTTCTCGCTCGTATTCACTCTCTTGTACGCTATTGGTTTTATTCTGCTACGTATCTCTGCTTCTCCTTTGCCACCACTGTCTTTAACCTTCTTCCACGCACAAACTCTCTCTCTCTCTCTCTCTCTCTCTCTCTCTCTCTCTC